TATTTTATTTATTTTATTTTTCCAGGTGGCAGGATTTTATGGCTTTATTAACACGAACACAACGTGCACACAATCCGTGTACTCATTTTCTTCACTGTGCAGCCTGGCATTGGGGCTGGTGACTGACGGCCAGCTGGGCTGCTCTCACAGTGGCTTTGCGGTTCTTTGAGGAGATGCTGTGAGCAGTCTCAGCACAGTGAGATTCGTTCCATATCAGCAGCACTTCAAGCTCCTTGATGCTGTGGAGCAGGAACTTCCGTGCTTTGTGTTCTCGTTGCTCCCATAACCAACGCTGGGCATCAAGATCTGGTCCTTGAATCTTCTGTGCACTGTGGCCCATGCCTCTGGGCTTCCACCAGCTAGGGTTAATTGACATGTCGGTGTGACTGGTGCCGGATGAACTTCTTGGTCCTCTTTTTGGTGACCTTGGGCTTCACAAGGGCCTGAGGGCAGCCATCCTAATGGCTGTTCAGTGTGTCTCACCGTGGTTTTGCTTTGATGATCTTGGGTTTCACAAGGGCGCCAAGTAAGAGATGGCTGCCACCGCCTAGGCAGCACGGAGGAAGAGAGACTCTCCAAATTAGCTGTGCTCTCTGGGCTTCTCTTTTTCCCAGTGTAAGAGGAATAATCCCCTCCCTCCTGTGAGGAGGAAAGGCTGTAATTCTTCTAAAGTGCTTGTATGAGGCTTGGGGCTCGCTTGGTAAAGGCCTGATGTTAGCTATTGATGAAATGATTAACACAAAAAGAAGCGTTCAAGCATCTTCCTCCCGCGTTGCAGGGAGCCCTTACAGAGTACTGACTGCTGGCCTGCCTGTCCCCAGACCCAGCGCACAGCAGGGACTGGGCCCCGTTCCTCTGGGTCTCCCAGGCTGGGTTACTGAGTCCAAGTCTAGGATGGTTCCAGGAGTGGGATGGAAGGAAGGTGGGGTGGGGAAGTCAGCAGGACTGTCAATTATGACTCACATTCATGACTCCCAGAAAAGTTGGACCCCAAATAATATTTAATAACAACAATACCGCCATCAATAATAACCACTTATTGAGCACTTACAATACCAGCACCCCAATTAACACTATGTGCATTATCTCTTTAATCCTTTAAACAACTGTGTGAAGTGACTGTTGTTATTCCCTTTTATGGAAGAGGAAACAGAGGCTCAGAGACCTTAATTAAGTCTCTTGCCCAAGGCAACTCAGAGGTGGATCCAGAACTCAAACCCTTGCTCTTAAGAGGTTCCTGGGGATAGCAGAGCCAAATGACTGGCCCAGGAAATGGGGAGGTCAAGGGCCATGAAATCACCCTGATTCTCATTTCCCAGACTGGCCCTTTAGGTGACTGAGTCCCTGCTGCCTATCTCAGGGGGAGCTGAAGGGCATCATAGAGCCCCCTCCAGGGCCTGGACTCCCTGGGCAATGCCCCCTCCACAGCAGATCTTCTAGCGGTGACTTCCACTTGGATGCGGGGGCCCTAAATTTAGGGGAGGTAACTCAGTACCTCTCCTTCAATGGCCAGGCTCTTGGGGTTGCACACAGTGGCTAATCCCAGTTTCCTCTGGTGTCCCACAGTGCCTGCAGATAGTGCTGGGTACCAGCCTCTTGCCCTTCTGCCCCTAATTCCTGTCCCCCCTAAATCTGCAGCAGCCCTTTGGGGGTCACTTTGTCAGGAACAGGTAAAAACAAATCTGCTCTTCTATTTCCAGGAGCTAGTCTCGTGTTGCCAGCTGAAATTGTGATCTCTTCAAGGTCATAACCACCACCCCCCCAACCCCCGCCCCAGCCCAGCTTGCCCATGTGCTTGGCATGGGGCAGCCCAGTGCAGAGAATGGGCAGTACCCAGGTATGAATCCACCTCATTACTTCCGGCTGTGTTAACTTGGGCCAGTGACCTGACTTGTTTAAGCCTTGGGGCCTCATTAGGGAAAGGGGATAATGAAAACCCGTCTTTATAGGGATGTTGTGCAGGTACAGGGGCTCATCGATGAGGAGTGTACACTTAGCACAGGACCCTGGGCCCCAAATGGGCTCAATGAATGATAGCATTTGCTACTGAAGACAGAACCTCCTCCCTAGAACAGCCGTCCATAATCGCCCCGTTTAAAGCAGGACTCATTTTTTCTTACAGCATTTCTTCTTCAAAAGCACTCAGCCCAGTTTGTAATTATACACGTTTGTTTACTTGTCCCTGAGAGCAGGGACTGTGTCTGTTTTCCACTGCTCAACCTTAGCACCAAGGGCAGAAACATAGTAAATGTTGGCTGAATGAATGACACCCCCTCCCTGGTCTTCTTCAGCCAGAGCAGGAGCAGGACTTGCCGCCTTTTCTCAGAGGATCTGGTTTTCAGAGCGCTATATATTCCTCAACCCCTCCTCCAGAGATGATCTTGCAGCTGGTGCAGCTGGAAAGGGCTGGATACTATCTGCTGTACCAGCCACATAACAGCTAGGTCAGGATAGCTGGTGGAGCCTAAGGCTGGGTCTTATACTCACCATGTTGGCCGTGGTCCTTGACGAATGGTGGGGTTATTGTGGCTGCTTCTACCCTTCCAGCCATCTGCAGCTGTCTGGCTTGTGGCCCCACAGACACTCTGAGTTTCCACCAGAGCCCCTCTTTGGCCCCTCTCTCACCTGGAGCTGGGCCTGACTCCAGAAGAAGGTTTCCTGCTTCCCACTTCCCTCCAGTCACACCTCCTTCTAGGTCTCCTTTGCCTTCTGCCTTCAACTGTAACCAGGGTCCCTTGGCCTTGGCAGATGTGTGAGGCTGGGGAAGGCACTCTGAGTCCAGATGTGATTGTGTTTATGTTTCCAGCCAGTAAGGGGTCAGAGTTCTGGACTGGAGCCGTTGGGGGAGGGGTGGTCTGGCTCCACCCCCTGCCCCAGCCTTCCCTTCCCCCACCTCCCTCCTTCAGTCTGTGTATCTGGCCCTGTCCCTTTTAGAACCCCACACTCCAAATCCTACAGCATCAGGCTGGGCCATCATCTAGGAAGGACCCTTCCTCACACCTCATCTGAAGGTGAGAAGACCAGTGCAAAGATTCCTGGCTTTGGAATCTAAGGACTGTTGTCTCTGTGTGACCTTGGCCCAATTACATCATGTGGTGGAGCCTCCATTCCATCATCTGTATAATAGGGACAACACAGTGTTGACCTGGTTTGAGAATGTGTGCACAGGGCTCTCCAGCTATTAGCTCATGCCTAGGCCCATGGATGTGCCCCATTCCCAGCTAGGGCTTGCCTGGGTCCAGCTCCAGGGCAGTGACAATCCCTGTCTCAAGGTGATTCTAAAGCAGAATTACCAGCCCTTCCTTCCTCCCGGCTGCAGCTACAGACATTTTGTATCGCCATTAGAAGCGACTTACTTAAGGAAAGCAGAACTTCACAGGCAGTTTACAGGCTGGTCTTGTTCAGCAGTTTCCAAAAGTGGGGAAAGGTGGAGGCAGCCGGGAGCCTCCAACAAGTTGGGATGGAAGCGAAGTGAGAAGTGAGTTCTGTGTGATGGACGCTTTCCCCGGCAAGCCACATGCGCCTGGGGGGGATTGGGGGGCGGGGAGAAAAGAGGGGGGAGCCCTGGCTAGACCCTGGAAGATCCAGCACCCTCCTGGAATGGCTAGGGCAGGGCTCCGAGGTGGGGATACCGGGCCCACAGGAGAAAAGGCAGCCCTAGACCGAAAGAGGCTCTCAGCGGTCCCATCCCAACGCCCTGGGCAGACCAGGATCGCGCAAACCCTGAGAGCCTGCAGAGTCTGGCGCCGGGGTGTTGAGGGGGGCTGGGAGGAGGCCCCGGTTAGGGCGGCCCACGCATGCAACGTCTAGGCTGAGCAGCCCAGACGGTGAGCGCCCGAAGCAGAGATTGGGAGCCGAGAATGCCCGGCAGCGCCCTCACGGGAGCCGGAGAAAGCTCGGGAATGGTGGAGGGGAAGTGGGGGAATGGGCCCTGGCGGGGTCTGCCTCTGCTCTTCCCTCCTACCCTCAGGGCCCTTGGTGGCGAAGTTCCCTTTCTACCCACCTCCCTCCTCAGCCGAATGAAGCAGTCGGGGCTCCGCAGTGGTTAGCACGCTCGTACTATGGTTTTAATAGACGTACATGGACAAGTCGATATAGACAGATTTATAATTCTATACAGTCAGTCCGACATACACAGGGACGCTGTAAACAGGGGCGCGGGCCGGAGAGCGGGTGTGCAAAGTGGGCGCGGCGAGAGAGGCCGTGGCCATGCCCGGAGCTCCCCGGCTCGGCTCCGCTCTTC